AATTAATTAATTAATTAATTAATTAATTAATTAATTAATTAATTAATTAATTAATTAGTTAATTAATTAGCGTTTATGTCTCTCCCTCTCCACGCAAATATTTATATATAATGTACGCACACATTTTTTCAAATGCATCATTTGTGTGTAAAAGCTCCACACCACAAATAAATATACATAAATATACTTTAAATAAACAAATATATGTAGAAATATATAATACATATATCTATTGATATACGATATACGTGCATGCATGCATGCATGCATGCATGCATGCATGCATGCATGCATGCATGCATGCATGCATGCGCCCTCGAAGTGACACGCAGAGAAGCGCATGCATGCAAATGCAGATGGACTAAATATATATGAGTAGCTATATATATATATATATATATATGTATATATATACATATATATATATGTGTGTGTGTGTGTATGTATATATATATATATCTAATGCCTACATATCTGTATATCTACATTAAAATAAGAACATCTATATCTTTATTCTACTTCTGTTTAACTATATAAAAAAGCACATCTAAATATATATTTACTCTTTAGGCTTTTTTCCGCTAATTAAATGTGCAAAAAGAAATAAATAAATTCAAACACACTTATTTCGCAGCTGTACATACACCCGAACCCTGCATGCGCTGCAGAGAAGTGGCCAGAGCTGCTCATTTTTTATTTTAATCTTTAATAATAAATAATTTAAAAAAATAAAAACTTTTATCTGCAAATAAAAAACCTTGAAGCATAATTAAAATATATATAATGCAGTTTTTAGAGACAAGTTCGTTTGCCCCGCACAAAGCCAGCAGCAAAGCAGCAACGCATGCATGCAGCAACGCATGCATGCAGCAATGCATGCATGCAGCAGCGCATGCATGCAGCAGCGCATGCATGCAGCAACGCATGCATGCAGCAACGCATGCATGCAGCAACGCATGCATGCAGCAACGCATGCATGCAGCGACAGCAGCGCAAAGCCGCAAACTTCGCCGCCCAGGTGGGCGCATGCATGCACGCATGCACGCATGCATGCATGCACGCATGCATGCATGCACGCATGCATGCATGCATGCATGCATGCACGCATGCATGCACGCTTGCATGCATGCATGCATGCATGCAGTCAGTTTCCCACAGGATACTCTGAAGGGTCTTTGTGGCCGCCCATCCAGGAGCCAGCTCCTGCCTTTGCTGTTGAAATGCAGGGCACGAAAGAGGGCCGCCGGTTGCGGCCTGCTGCTGCTGCTGCTGCTGCTGCTGCTGCTGCTGCTGCTGAGGGGGACCGGTAGGAAGAAAGGCTAGAGCCGTAAGACGAACAACTAGTAAACAGCAGCAGCAGCAGCAGCAGCACATGCAGACAACGCGCGCTGAGTAGAGGCCTTCAAAAGCTAGCAGCAGCAGCAGCAGCAGCAGCAGCACTTGCAGCAGCAGCAGATGCAGCAGCAGCAGCAGTAGTACTTGCAGCAGCCACAGAAGCAGCAGCAGCAGAAAGCTAGATAAGGCCTACCTGCGGCTTGTGTCTAAGGAGGAGGAGGGAGACGCGATTGCTTCGATTGGCTCTGCTGCTGCTGCTGCTGCTTCCCGCTGCTGCTGCTGCTGCTGCTGCTGCTGCTGCTGTAGCTCTTCCGGCTGCTGCAGCTGCTGCGGAGGAGGCCACGAGCTTTGTGGAACTTTTGCTGCTGCTGGTGCTGCATCTGCTGCAGTCTCTGGCAAAGTGCTGCTGCTGCTGCTGCCTCCCGCAACCCACTCTCCTCGATTCTGCAGTTCTCCCGAGCTCCTGCGCCTCAGCTGCTGCTGCTGCAGCAGCTGCTGCTGCTGCAGCTGCTGCTGCTGCTGCTGCTGCTGCTGCTGCTGCTGCATCCGCTGCGGGACTTTCGATTCATCAAATGTTGCAGACGCCGAGGGGCCCCAGCAAAGGGACGGAGCAGCAAGAGAGGGAGCAGAAGAGCTGGACATTGCTGCTGCTTCTGCTGCTGCTGCTGCTGCTGCTGCTGCTGCTGCTGCTGGGGACGTATGGGGCTCGGCTACGGGTTTGTGCGGGCCTTCATGCAGAGACTGTAGCTGTAGCTGCTGCTGTTGCTGCTGCTGCAGCTGTTGCTGCTGCTGCTGCTGCTGCTGCCGCTGGAAGCTCTCCAGCTGCTGGACTAGGTAAAGATTGTGCTGCTGCAGCCGCTCGTTTTCCTTCAGTACTTCGTCGTAGCGCTGCTGCTGCTGCAGCAGCAGCTGCTGCTGCTGCTGCCGCTGCTCCTCCTCCTGCTGCTGGTAATGCTGCTGCTGCTGCTGCTGCTGCAGCGGGTGGCTGTGTGCCTGGAGCTGCGCAGGACTCATCGGAGAGAGGGGCCCCTGCTGCAGATGGGGCCCCTGCTGCTGCGGGGCCCCCTGCTGCTGCGGGGGCCCCTGCTGCTGCAGGGGCCCCTGCTGCTGCAGGGGCCCCTGCTGCTGCAGGGGCCCCTGCTGCTGCGGGGGCCCCTCTGGGGGGCCCCCCTGCTGGTCGTGGGTGAGGTGGTTGTGCAGCAGCAGCTGCAGCTTGAGGTGGAGGAAGTCTGCGAGGTCCAGCAGCTGCTCGACAGCAGCTTTGTTGCTGCAGCTGTCTGCTGCTGCTGCTGCTGCTGCTGCTGCTGCCTTGTGCTTGGCGTCGAAGGCCGCCACAGTGGAGCTCAGCCGGGTGTACAGACACCGCAAATCTGCTGCTAATTGCATGCGGCTCTCTTCTGCTGCTCTCAGCCGCTGCCGAGTGCAGCAAAGACAGTCCGAGAGGTCTCTGTTGCTCTTCACCACCCCCAGCAGCTCCCGCTGCAGCTCCTGCAGCGCAGCAGTCAGCGGCTGAGCAGCAGCAGCAGCAGCAGCAGCAGCAGCAGCAGCAGAGTGGCACACGCCTGTGTATAGATACGCGCGGTGAGCAAAGACACGCAGCAGAAGCGATTTGGAAACAGCGGCAGGGACAGATGCAGCGACTGCAGCAGCAGCTGCTGCAGGGCTGCAGCAGCAGCAGCAGCAGCTGCTGCTGCTGCTGCAGTTGCTGCTGCTGCCAATCATACCTCGTTCGGGGACTTGTGCGGAGTGGAAAGCAGCGGAGGCGCCGCCTTGAGCTTATCTGCTGCCTCGAGGGGCACTGCGGAGCTCTTGGTGTGCAGCTCCATTTTGTGAAGACACGTGCTGCTGCTGCTGCTGCTGCTGCTGCTGCTGCTGCTGTTGCTGCTTTTGGTCCCTGTGCGGCAGCTGCTGCTGCTGCTGCGGCTGATCCTGCTTTTGCTGCTGCTTCTGCTGCGTGTGCACCTGACCCGCCTCGCAGCTACACGCGCAGCTTGCTGCTTCGCTCTGGGGCCTCAGCTGCTGCTTGTCTGGCCAGACTCATGCTGCAGTTGTTTGCACATTTGTTAAAAAGTCATTTGGGGCCCCCTGGGGCCTTTAAATTCAATGAATTTGGGGGGCCCCTGCCGCTGCTGCTGCTGCGGCTTCGGCGGCTGCTGCTGCGCTCTGTCAGTGCTGGGCAGCTGCTGCAGCAGCTGCGCCTCCAGCGGCCTCTCTCGCTGCAATTGAGGTAAAGCTACATGCAGATGAGACTTGAAATGCAAAAAGTGCTGCAGACAGAGCAGCAAGCTGCTGTCTGCTGCGGCTGGTCTTGCGGCGGCTCACAGCAACGCCAGCGGCGTTGGGGCTGCTGCCTCCCTGGCCCCAGCAGCTGCAGGCTTCAGGATTATTTCCAAACAAAACAAAGCAAAGAACAGTGCGACTCGCATGCAGGCGCGCTGCGGTGTGGCTTGCAGCACTAACAGCAGCAGCAAGACCAGCAGCAGCAGCAGCAGCAGCAGCGATGTATCGGAGCCTTCTCGGTGCTGCGGAGCAGCAGCAGCAGCCACTAAGAAATTATCCTAGGTCCTTCTAATTAATCAATTATTTCAATTTTCGCGCTTTTCTTCTTCATTGAAACAGTAAAAGACACCCGCGGATTAGCACAACTAGGCTGCTGCCCGGCAGTAGCAGCAGCAGGTGCTGCTGCTGCTGCTGCAGCTGCTGCTGCTGCACCTGCGGCTGATGCTGCGCGAGCATTGCTCCCCACACGCCACAAGCGCATGCTCCGGAAGGCGAAAACTAAATTTACGAATTGGTGCTGCAGCACAGGTGCCGCCGGCGTCTGCAGCACGAGGGAGAGCAGCAGCAGCAGCAGCAGCAGCAGCAGCAGCAGCAGCGCCTTCTGCGGTTAAAGAAGATGGCGCAGTCAGTGCGGGACCGCGTCGCAGCTGTGTCGCCTCTCT